GTGAGGGCCTAAGGGGATGCTGAGGACTTGGAGGGGAAGCCAGGGGCCTTGCGGAAGGGTGGGGACCTAGAGGGCATAGGGAGTTCTAGGGGGGTGTGGTGGGGACCTAGATGGCATGATGGGGGCCTAGGACTATGGCGGAGACCTGAAATGGATAATAGGGAGTCTGGGGGGATAGTGAGGACCTGGAGGAAATGGTGGGGGCCTTGGGAGATACTGGGGACCTGGAGGGGGGTGATGGAGGAATAGGAAGGCCCGAAATGAAGGTGTGGTGATTTGAGCTTGTGTACACAGGGGATATCCGAATGGGAACGTGGTAGGGTGACATGTCATGGTCTCAGCGTATTGGGGAAGACAATCCCCTCCCTTCACAAACCTACCAATATCAGCATGGAAGGAAACCAGACTTGTTTTTTTGTGAACTTGCCAGATCACATACATGTATGTAGGGTGTTGGCAAGAATATGGAATTGGGCAGACCTTCACACATATCCCACACAGTAAAGCAGAGAAAGGGCAAGTAAGACCTCTCATATCTTCTGGAGGGAAGGATAGATGTTGCTGTGTAGCTTGTACCTTGAGAGAGACTCCTGACCCAGTCCTGGAGGTCTGAGTTTATAGCTCAGTCGAATGGAGCTTATTCAGGAGAAATGTGGGGAGGACCAGAAGTAGTGAGAGGTGGGGGAGGGGAGGACTAGGAGGAAAGTGAGTTTGAGAGAGTGAGGTCCAGGTGGAGGGAGATCTAAGGTGGGAGTGGCGAACACCAGCGAGATTGGCCAGGGTGGAACTGGGGGGCGGGAGTTATTTGTGGCAAGTGAAGCGGCGGGGAGGTATTGTGTGATTTGTGTTCCATCCGTTGCCTCTGTGGTCAAGGCGTGGCGTTCTTCACTGGGTCAGCATAGAGTGGAAAGTGAGAACACGTGGAAACAGAATGAAGAAACATAGTCACCCATAATTTCATCCAGAGATAAGCATATCTTACTTTTCGGTGTAGACCTATCCTTCCAGGCTTGCATTCATTCATTTATTTATTCATTTGTATCTTTTCCTTCCCTCCCTCCCTGTACACATACAAAGTTGTGGTGAGTGCAGATCACCACGACACCTGGGGCAGAGGGGAAAAGTGTGGGAAGCAAGTGTTCATAATTATCTGAAGATTGGGAAGATGTGGGTCAGTTTGCCCAATGGGTATTGCCTGGGAGGGCTCCAGCTCCTGAAAGCTGTGTGGTTGAGAGTAAATTTCCTAAGAAAGGGGGAAGCTTTGTGCCAGCCGGTCCACACACTCCCTGAGATTGTCACCCAGCGTAGGAGATCAAGTCTCCTTTCTTGAGCACTGGTGGGTCCAGGCAATTGTGCTGTTTCCCCTAGTCTACACGCTGGCCCTCTGGCATTGGTGGCATCACCACTGCTGTGCACACGAGGCTCTGACAAGAGTAAGAGCAGGGCTGTGTCTCTTGAAGGCCACTAGACGGCAGCCTTGGCAGCCTAGAAGTGGTGAGAAATTTACATTCCTGGGCCTCACCCAGACCTACTGAGTCACAACCTGGGGATGGGCACTGCTCTAAGCCTGGTCACTTCCCAGTGACACAACCCTCAGAGGGCCAGAGAGAAAACAGCAGGAGAGGAGTTTAAAAGTCAGCACTTGGTTGGAAATACAGTGGGGATTACGTAAAATCCTAGATGTCTGCTCTGAGAAGTTAGAAAGAAGGTGCACACCCTGTGAATAAGCCATGTTGTTGCAATGAAACACCCCCAACAGTACATTTGAACCTCCCAGGTTGAAAGCGGTCGCCTGTGCAGAGCAGGAGGTGAAGGTAATGGAAAAGGCTGGCTCGGCACCTGGAGACACTGGTTCCAGTGTTCTGACTCTGAGCCTTCTTGTGGTCAGGAGTTGTTGGAAGGTGTGTAAAATGTTGCTGGTTCTGTTACTCTGGAAATTAACTAAAAATAGGTGTTTACTTGATACTGAGTCTCACTGTAGGCACAGGTCTGATGCGAGAGCTGAAAGAGACTCATTGTACCAGTTGCTGTGCATCCTAAGTGTGGTCCGGTGACCGGGAGCATCACTCCGGGGATGAGTCCCAGACGCCCAGGGGATGCCTTGCATGACCTTCTCTCCCCATTTCAGCTGTTCGCAGGGCCCACGCAGGTCTGTAAGCTTTCGTTGGACTCCAGAACTTAGCGTGAATCAGAAACCTAGGTCAGCGTACAAAACGGAGAAAATGGTCCACGACGGATAGTCAGTGTTTCCATGTAGTGTGACTCGGGGTTCATGTAACGTGTGCCTGGACTGTGCCGGCACTGCGCACCAGGCACCCTCCACGTGCCGTTTGCTTCCCCAGCGTGTAGACAGAGTTGGTCCACATGTGAGCACATTCATAGGCTCCTCAGACATGTGGCCACAGATTTCTCCGGTTGCTTTTCCTTGGTTTTGTGATTGGTGGGGGGTCCGTTTTAGGGGAGACAAGATGTCACCAGGCCTGAGGCCATTCAGAGACTCAGAATAGCAGGTGGGGCACTGAGGCCTGAATGGCAGCCTGCTGGAGTGGCGGTGGGGTGGGGAGGGGCAGGGAGAGAAGAATGGGGGAGGTTTTGGCAGAAGAATTACATTTTCTTTAACTTTTTCTTTTTCTATTTGACTTTATCTGATTTATTTCACTTAACATAATGGCTTCACAGTCCATCTATTTTGTTGCAAATGGCAGGATTTTCTTCTTTTTTTTTTAATGGCTGAATTAGTATTCTGAATATATTTCCAGAAGTAAGGTAGCTGGGATTATACGTGATGTTTTCTAATCTTGTGTTATGACTGTCACATTGGCTGTTGAATGGAAAATGGGTGGTAGGCACAGAGCAAAGTGAGGAAGGGAGTTGGGAAGTTGTCCAGGGAGTAGTGACAGCCTTGCCTAGTGATGCACCATTGGGCTGGGGGCAGACTGCATGTGCAGCACGACTGCAGGTACTTGGTTGTGTGTTGTTGGGAGGGGCATCCAGGAGAATGCATCCCATGCGGTGCCAGCTGAGGCGGAGGACAGCTGCATAGCTGGCTGAGTTGGAAACACCTGTTACTGGCCAAGTGTCCATGCCCCAGCTATTCCCCTGTCTGTGGCTCAGACAGCCTGGGCTAGAGGTAAAGTTTGGGGGACAGCAACTTGGAGGTGATATTTCATGCCCTGGAACTGTGTTGACCTGGCTAGGAGAGAGTGTTGATTATGAGGCTGGGCTGTGACCTGGTTATTCCAGCGTCCGGCCATTGTGTGGGAGAGGAGCAGCCAGCCAAGGAGACCAGACCGAGCATCTGGAGAAGTGGAGGCAAGAGCCCAGGGAGCCAGGTGTCCCTCGGGAGGCGCAACTGCATTGAACAGAGAGGTCAGAGCAGACGTGGGCATGGGGCTTGGCTACCTAGAGGCCTGTGCGAGCTGCACCATGAGTCATGGGGACAGGAGCCTGTACGGAGGACAGGATGGGCTGTGGGAAGATGGGGATGATGTGTGTGTCTGAAGGTGGCTTCTAGGGAGATGTGTTAACTGCGGATAAGGTCAAAGGTTGGTGACTGTGCCTATGGCCACGTTTGCTGCTCCTTTTTTAGCAAAGGTTTACCGCAGCTGTCACACTCTTTGTTCTGGGTGGCCTCTGCTGCTTCTACTTGACAGTAGCAGTGATGAGCATGGTGACAGAGACCACATGCCTGAGAGCCTAAAATATTTACTCTCCGGCCCTTAGCAGGAAACATGAGCCCCTGGGGCTGGAGGCAAGGAGAAGTCGAGATTGCTGGGGTCAGAGGGTTGGCCAAGGACACAAGAGCCTGGCCTTTGAGGGAGGAGGACACTGCTTCCTGCGGGCTATACAAGGGGACCAGGGGAAGGCAAGGCACCAAGACAGATGGGGACATGTTGGGGGAGTCCCACTTGGTCCTTTTACTGTGGCCTGTTGGGAAAGCTGTTCTGGAAGCTGCTAGGATAGGCTTTGGTCCCGGAGTCTCCTGCAGCTTTTTCCCTGGTGCTGATCAAACCCGAGAGCTTTCTCATTTCTCTTTCAAATAAATAGTACAACAGTGAGAGGTGTTTGGTTCTACTCCTGATTCTTTTTTACTTTTACTTTTCTCCCGTTTTGAATTTTAGAATATTTCAGAGCTGATGTTGTCCTTAGGTCCTTTAGTTACTTTAATGGTGGATAAACAGGCTACAAAGGTGAAGTAAATTTTCCATAGTCGTAAAGCTTGTGGCGGGCGGAGTTGGCGGGATGCTCGTAGACGCCCTCGGGTGCTGCAGGGCATTTGTGCACAGTCTCCCCCAGCGCTTGGCTCCGCTCAGGTGACTGTGAACATAGATTCAGTTCCATGCTTGTCTGTCTCAAAGTGCTGGATGGAGGTGAGCGAGAGCCGGGGGTGGGGACTCTTTTCAGCCCCAGGACCAGGGTCTCTCCAGGTTCAGGGCTGACAGGGCTGCAAGCACACCGCTGTGACCAAGGCCGGAGGCACTCGGGCCCCGCAGTTTGTCTTAGACCTGGAAACCCTGAAAACCATGGTGATACAGATGTCACTGGTTATTCCCTAATTCTGAAAGTGAAGACTGCTTGCATTTCTCCCAGTCTGAGTGACTGCTGAGTCTAGGAGGTCGTGTGCACAGTAACTGTTGGTCACAGCAAGCTGGGGTCTGCGGCACCTGTCCCTGTCCTGTGAGAGGCCAGCCCTGTCCAGCCCAACTCTACATCGTGTCTCAGCATGCTCAGGTGAGCACCTCTCACCAAGGAGGGAGGTCTGATGGAGACACATGTGTCCTACGGTTCCCTCTGTCCTGCATGAGCCATTGTCACAGAGGAAGGGCAGCCCCTCCACCCCCACCATGCCCCTGGTGAGCTTCCTCAAGTCCTCGTGTATGGATGCACTGTCTTCTGCTCACACAGTTGGGGGTGAGCCAGCTGAGGAACTCCTGGCTGGCTTCCAGTGACACGAGAGAGGGGTGGACACAAGAGTGGGGTGGCGTGGGCGGAACTTCCCGGCTTGTTCACAGAGCCTGTTGGGAAAGCTGAGATTTCTGGCTGCATTTCTAGTGTTGAGCTTCCCCTTGGTCTGGTATTTGTTGTTGATTCTTGGGTTCCTGTCTCCTTGGGTGGACTTCTGGCCCTGCCAGCCTCAGGTCCTCTGTGGCCCATGGTGGTCATGCCCGTCAGGGCACGAGAAGGTAACACAGGGCCTGCTGCTTCCTGCTCCCAACTCACCACATTCTTCAAGAATACTCACCTTCTCTGTAGTCTTAATCTGCAAGTCTGTTCTAGAATGTTCTTTACCATATACAGTCTTTGCTCTTCTGTGCAAGTATGTGCAGTCTTATTGTGGCTTATTTCTCAGTGTTCCGTTCTCTCTCCCATGTAACTCCTCTGGTGTCTGAACTGTATTGTATCTCCTTAGATACCAGAGCCTAAGGCTGCTACTTTCTCAGAATTGACATTTGTGCAAAACACTCAGTGATGCTAGTACTCTTCAAAGAGTGTTGGCCAAAACAGTGTTTGTTTGAAGGGTCCCGGGGTGATGGTTTCCAGCAGTTTCCTTCCTTCAGTCACATCCTACTGTGGGCCCTGGTCTGAGAGGGGGTGGCGCTCTGGTGGGCACAGAGCCCCAGGAGTCCCTGGGGCTTTGGGAAGAGTGCAGGTCTGGGATGTGGCCCTCCTCGCTTTGGTAAGTAGGTTGAGGACTTTGTCCTACCTGTGTCACATGTGGGCTGGGAGCCCTTGCTAGGCGAGGACGCGGCTGTGTGCTGGTGTCTCCAGTATCCTCTGAATCCTGACCGTTCACTCACTGTCGCTATCCTAGTGTCTCTAGTCCAAGTGTGATGACACATTTTGGTCTCACATAGCCACTAACTTGTCCCCTCTCCTGCAGAGGCAGAGTGGCCTTGGAGCACACTGACCCAGGAACCAGATGAGCAGGGACATCTGCGTCCACACCTGGCCGTGCTCCTACTATTTAGAACTTGAGAAGCGATGGGTTCCTGGAAAACTTTCATTAACTGCTCTCGCACTAAAATTTGTGACTGATAAAACTGGAGACATTCTCGTCAACTTTCCCCTTTCTAGTGTAATTGAGATCAAGAAAGAGGCTTCCCACTTCATCTTCAGTTCTCTCACCATCCTGGAAAAGGATCATGTCAAGCACTGGTTTAGTTCCTTGCAGCCGAGTCGCAATGTCGTTTTCCACATCATTGAGCACTTCTGGAGAGAGTTGCTGCTGTCTCAGCCAGGAGCTGAGGCGTCCTCCTCCCCCATGACCAAGGGGAAGGAGCTGACTGGCCTGATGGCCAGTTCCCAGAAGCGTCTAGAAGATGCGGCCAGAGTCCTGCACCACCAGGGCGAGCAGCTGGACAGCATTGCGAGTGGCCTGGACAAGATGGAGTCTGACCTGGATGTGGCTGACAGGTAGAGAAAACTGCTGCAGCCCTAAGCTGACTTTGCGTGGCTGGGATGTCTCCTGTCATCCCGTATTTAACGCATTCTGAAAACATGGTTCGGGCTTGTTGTGGAGTGTTAGGCTGGGCTGGCTGCTCTGGGCATATAAATGGTAAGCGCTGGCGTTTATTGATGGCACACTATTGTCAGGTTCCATTTAAGTGTCAGTGAGGATCATGCCATTTAATCACCAGACAAGCCAAGAATAACATTTATTCTTGACTTCATGTTACTTATGGGGAAACCGAGGCTACGAGGCCAGAGAATTTGTTCAAGGTTACACACACTAGGTTTGTCAACACAGTTTATTTTTTTTGCATAGTTGTAGGGCAGCCGGTTTGAACAAAAGCATTTTGGTTCTAGAAGCCGCCATCTGAGCTGCTGTACTATCTACTCTCAAACCTTTGGTCTCGGGGCTCCTCCACTCTTACAAATTGAGGACCCCAAAGAGCTTTCGTTTATGTGTTACATGTGCCAACGTTTACCATGTGTTTTTTTAACTGAGAAATTAAAAAGTTATTTATTCATTTAAAAAGTACAATAGTAAACCCATGACATAGTAACATAAATAACATTTTGTTTTATGAAAGATAACTTCTATAAAGCAAAACACATTTAGTGACAAGATTTGAGATTTTGCACACCTTTTTACAGTAAAGCTAGTAGAAAGTGGATTCTCGTACCTGCTTCAGCGAGTCTGCTGGGCCGTTCTGTGTCGTGTGGCTTCTGGAAACCCTACTGCACAGTCGTGATAGAATGAGAGTGGCAAAGGTCTATGGCCATGCCACTCTGAACATGCCCAATCCCGTCTGATCTCAGAAGGTAAGCAGGGTCAGGCCTGGTTAGTACTTGGATGGGAGACCATCTAGGAAGACCAGGTGCTGTAGGTGTTAAGAGAAAAATAAATAAATAAAAAATAAATTTGTATCTGAACTTAATAAAATGTGATCATTTAAAAAGAAAAATGAGAGTAGCAAACCTAGACAGTGTCACGGTGCTACTATCTTAAGTAATTTCGACCTCCATGCTTTGAGAAGTGCTGCCCTGGTGCTGCGACATGCCAGATCTGTCAGGGGTCTCGGGGTCTGGAAGGAACAGCATCTCCTCTTATCTGGAAAAGCTGCTGGAGTCTCAGGATGAGGAGGCAGCCTCTTGGTGACCGGCCCTGAATGTAGCTTATGTCTCTTAGACCAGGGCAATGTGGGTGGCGTTGGTGGCATTGATGGTTAGTACTTGGATGGGAGACCATCTAGGAAGACCAGGTGCTGTAGGTGTTAAGAGAAAAATAAATAAATAAAAAATAAATTTGTATCTGAACTTAATAAAATGTGATCATTTAAAAAGAAAAATGAGAGTAGCAAACCTAGACAGTGTCACGGTGCTACTATCTTAAGTAATTTCGACCTCCATGCTTTGAGAAGTGCTGCCCTGGTGCTGCGACATGCCAGATCTGTCAGGGGTCTCGGGGTCTGGAAGGAACAGCATCTCCTCTCATCTGGAAAAGCTGCTGGAGTCTCAGGATGAGGAGGCAGCCTCTTGGTGACCGGCCCTGAATGTAGCTTATGTCTCTTAGACCAGGGCAATGTGGGTGGCGTTGGTGGCATTGATGGGAACACTTGGCTCCGAGAGACCCTGTGTGTACTCACCACTTGCTGCTGCTTTCCAAGTGCCCGCGTGTGAAGGGCATCCTGCTGGGGCTGCTGGGCACAAAATCCCTGATCTTTCCCTCACAAGGGTCTTGTGGTAGAAGAGATGGAGGTCACCAGACCTTCATCAGTTTTTCTCTTGGGAACACAGACCGTTTTCTACCTTCCTTGCAGTTGGGGGCTCTTGTGACTGAGTTGTGGGCAGAGAGATATAGGTCACTTCGGGTCTGCGTCCCTCCCTGTCAACTGCTGGCTGTGTGCAGAGAAGCCTCACAAAGGCTCTGAGGCCAGAGGGCAAAGCACATACAGGAGAGGGATGGAGTTGGGTCCCCAAGCAGCATCACAGAGCCAAGCCTTGGCCCTAGCCCTCAAGTGAACTGTGACACGAACAAGAAAGAAATTTTTCCTGGGCTGGCCGCTGAGATTTGGGGTTGTCTGCAGTGGCAGTCAGCCCTAGCAGGCTGGCACAGCACCCTGTGGAGAGGAAGGCACCTCTGGTAAGTGTGGTGCTGCCTGATGGAGAGCTCAGCCTCGGGAGACAGTTCGCTGCACCAGAAGTGAAGGCAGTGCTTGCTAAAAGAATGAGAATCTAGGTTTTACTGATTGAATGAATTTAATCTACGCATCCACAGCACCAGCTGGGGGATGGCGAGTAAGCATTTTCATACACTGCTTATTAGGAGTGTCAGTTGATATAATCCTTTTGGAGAGCAGCCTGGCGGTTTGTAAATCTTTTGATAGATGACTAAATGAAAAGATGAACCTGAGGCTGGGAGAAAATATTTGTAATACCCACCCATATTCCCAATAAAGGATTAACATCCAGCTAGTTAAAGAAGTTCTGTGACAAAATGACAAAAAGACAATTCAATAGAAAAATGGCAAAGGCTATTGATTGTGGAATTTAGGCTAAGCTGCTATAAACAGATCCAAAAATACTGTGCGTCCCCCTCCCCCATTTCCCTCCAGGCAGTAGAAAACTCGGCTTTAGGTTATCACCTGGGCCCTGTCTCACCACATGGCACTGTGGCTGCATCAGGAGCTGCTGGTGCCACTCTCTTCCAGGGAGGCCGGGGCCTGTGGCTGTGTCTTTAAGAATATGGACCCGAAGTTGTACATAGGCTTCTGTTCACACCCTGCTGGCAAGACTTAATCACAGCGCCACACTCAGGAACCAAGAGGGTGAGCGGTCCTGGGAGATGACCCTGTGTTGCATTAGAAAAGGAAGAGTGACAGGGGTCAGCAGCAGTCTGTGTCTCACAAGTGAGGAATGCCAAAGACTCACGGCCGACAAGAGGGGATCTGGCACCCTGGTAGCTAGGGACGGCACATTAAACAACACATAGGAGCTGAGCGACACCCACACTGTTAAGATGTGGGGTGATGAGATCCCCATGGCTGAGCCCCTCCTCATTCAGCTGTGTGTCCTGGGGAAACTCAGGCACAGGCACAGACATCGTGTGGACATGAGCTTCGGGGGAGTGTTGTGGACAGAAGTGAGCAGGTGCGGTCAGTTGCTTCTCAAGGCCAAGGGCACTTGAGCTCCATTCCAGTTATAAAGCAAACTAATTCTTTCATGTTAACTGCTGTAGAGTGGATCTGCAGATGCACTTGGAGAAGTCCCAAAGCAGTGCAGAAAAGCAAAAGCAAATTGCAAATAGATTGTGCAGTACCATTTATAAGGTGTTTTAAATGTACAAAATAGCACTATAGGAAAACTCTGGAGAGTGAAAATAGGAAAAACAGGAAGGGTATGTGCAGGGCCAGCAGGTTTTGCAGAAAGTGGCTGCTAGGCACCTGGGTGTCCAGGGCCTCAGCGAATGTCCTCATTTGTCCACATCTGGGGAAAGTTCTCATATTAGTTCTTTGGTAATTTCTTCACCTTTGTTTTTAAAATTTGTTCTTCTTGGTTATCTGACTTACTGGACTGATCTAACAGCATTCTTATTTTTCTGTCTCTTTGTCCTTTTGTTTTACTTCATGTTTCTTGTATTTTATCACCTTCTTCTATTTTCATTATCATATGCTTAATTTCTGAGAATTATTTTTTGTCCTTGTGGCTGCTTCGTGGTCACCCTGTACTCTCAGGAGACTGGGCAGTTGTATGTGGGGCGAGGTGGAGTGCTGTCGCCTGTTCAGTGTGCCGATGTCCCTCCCTCTCAGCACACAGTCCAACCATGCAAAGCCCCTCCAGCGGCTCCCTCAGGACCCACTTCTAGGAGATGTGGGGCCCAGCAGGCAGGTTGGGGTCTCTCCTGCTATCTTGGGTCGGCTTTGACTTCACCTGTTTTCAGAAACTCCTGGGGTCACCTGTTTTCCTGTTCGGGTTCTGCAGTGCAACCTGGCTGTTTTTCAGCTTCTCCTACTGCTGCCTTATGGTTTACTTTCTTGGTTTTGCTAAGTCTGTTTTTGAGTTACCACAATTTTGGCGCTGCTGTCTCTTCTCTTTGCCCTTGAGGGGGAAATGTGTTCACTTTGCCGTCTGTAATATTGTGATTTATAGTAAGAAATATATTTCATCTTCTTCCATGGTTCCTGGCCCAGAGCTCCTAAAACCCTTGGAATTTCCCATGATGAGAAACATAAAGGTGTCTTGTGTTATGTTGATGAAGTGATTTTGGAAAGCCCCTAATGATGATGGCAGCTGGTTCCAGGGGAACCTACCATGTGGTTAGAGGGTAGAGACTTTCAGTCCCTCAGGAAAGGAGGAAGGCCAGGAAGTTGAATCGATCACCAATGGCCAGAGGTTTAATCAGTCACATTTGTGTAATGAAGCCACCATAAACACCCAAAGGGACAGGGTTTCAGAGAGCTTCTGGGTTGAACACGTGGGGATGCAGGGAGTGGTGGGCTCAGTGAGGGCATGGAAGCACCTTGCCCTTCCTGTATACCTTGCCCTTCCTGTATACCTTACCCTGTGTGTCTCTGCTGTCTGGCTGTTCTGAATCATATCCTTTTATAATAAACCAGAGACCTAGTAAGTAAATGTTAGAGATCTCTGAGTTTTGTGAGCAGTTCTACTGTAGGGAGGAGGCAAGAGAACTAAAAGTTAAATCAAGCTGTATTCAGAGACTGCAATATACTGGTCAGCCCTACAGCCAGACCATGAGGAAACCTGCAGAACAAAGGAAGATTTCTGCTGGGATTGCTAACAACCCATTTCCCCACACCTTGAAGGGGAAACAGGAAAGCAGAGTCTTTAAGTCATGCCCTACACAAAATAAAATCATTCATTCCTTATGGCTAAAACTATGGGGGAACCTAAGGATAAAAGGCTGGGAACAGCCAGCAGGCCTTTCAGTCTATATATTCTTACCCTTTCTT